AGCTTCCTCTATGCTCTGTGTCAGGTTGAGTCCCCTGGAACAGAAAGCAAAGCTGAACAGCCAAACAATTAGACTTGTTTTACGTGAACATTCTATATCTCAAGACTTACAAATTCACTTTTTGGATATAATTAAAGATTTAATAAAATATATGAAAAAATTGCTTGAAAATATTAACAGGTTTCTTGGTAGTAGACACTAAAAGCGGCAACTGGAAAATAAAGACTCTAAAATGTGGACAAATAGACAGATGATCAGCAGATGCCATAGGGGAGAGCCTGTGTGTTCTGAGCAAGCCACAGCTGGTCTCTGTCTCCCAGGCCAGAGGGTAACAGCAGCTGCAGACACTGAAGGGGGTGGCTGGAACCTCTCCGTCTCTGACTCCTTAATTGCAACAAACTCATGGACAGGACATTTACACAGTTGAGAGAGAGTCAGAGAGGGAGAGAGGGAGGGAGGGAGAGAGAGAAAGGGAGCTCATTTTATTTTCCCAGAGGTAAGGTATATGAGGGTTTTTATGGGAAGAGTTGATTAGTCATCACCTAATTATTATACATGCAGGAGGAAAGAACAGGGTTAATGTATTGAGTCATGCAGCAATTGCTCTGTTCAGTGTCTCTTCCAAATAGGGCCAAGAATCTGAGCTTAGAGACACTCTCCAAATAAGGTTAGGCAGACATGACTCCTCTCCAAATAAGGTTAGGCAGACATGACTCTTGCTGAGAAAGGAAGTCCTCCATTTTGCCCAGAGCTCAGAGAACTGTCAGAGCGTAGTGAACCGCAATCTTAAATGCATGGCTCTCCAGCAGAGGGAAGTTGTCCTCCCTGTGGGACTGCTCTAGGACAGCCATGTGATAAGTAGCATTCTGCCTCCAAAGGCCACACACTGTACTTCCTGTCCCTTGATAGAGGCTCTGTAGTCTACCCATAAGCACAGTTACAGCCTCCAGAAGGAAATGACATGATGCTCACATTCATAGCCCTGTACTGTATTGCTGAGGTGTGTAGATGAAGAAGGGATATTCTGGTTTAGGAATGACCCTACCCCACAACCTAGCTCTGGCCCATCCCAAAACCCCAAGGTCTCAGGAGGTTGTGCAGATGGGGTATAGATGAAATTTCTTTTCTGCCTGTTTCATTTTACTAGAGACATAATTCTGGAGTATTGTCAGTCTTAATTTGTACATGTATCCCCATGTTTATTTACTGGTTTTTCGAGACAGGGTTTCCCTGTATTGCTTTGGAACCTGTCCTGGAACTAGCTACGTAGATCAGGCTGGCCTTAAACTCACAGAGATCCGCCTACATCTGCCTCCTAAGTGCTGGGACTAAAGGCATGTGCCAACAACTGGGTAGAGTCAGCCTTTTTAAAACTCAAAACAGTTGTCCATTAAAATATTGACTATATATCTATAGTAAGGTATAATTATTTTAATTTTCCAGACTCTGCAGAATGGAACACATCCATTTGCCAAATTTAATTTCTCTGAGTACCATTTGGGTTAGCTCCTGCAGGTAGTAAAGTCTGATTATACAAAGAACAAGTATGACATTTCCTTAAAATTCCCGTAGCTTGCTACAAAGTGATAGAAAAATATTTTTTTTCAAACTATCGCTATTAACATGGTGTTTCTTATGAAATTCTGAGGTTTCTAGCACATTTCCTACCTAAAGTTGATAAATTTCCTTATTACCTTGTGCTTGAGTGCATGGTATACATATATGGGATCTGATACATTTTATATATAATGGATAATTTCTATTTCTAATTTTTTTACTCCCTCTTCTCTCCCTCAATGCTCCCAACTTCCTCAGGAGATCTTGTCCCTTTCCCCTTCTCAAGGGAGATCAAGTATGTCTCTTTTAGGGTCCTCCTTGTTTCCTAGCTTTTCTGGCTGGTGTGAATTGTAGGCTGGTAACCCTTTGCTCTAAAATCTAAAATTTATAAAAGAGTGAGTACATACCGTGATCCTCTTTTTGTAACTGGATTACCTCACTCAGTTTGGTTTCTTCTAGTTCCATCCATTTCCCTGAGAATTTCAGGATTCCTTTGTGGTTTTCTGCTGAGTAATAGTATTCCATTGTGTAAATGTACAAAATTTTCTCTATCCATTCTTCAGTTGAGGGTCATCTAGGTTGCTTTCAGGTTCAGGCTATTACAAATAATGCTGTTATGAACATAGTGGAACAGATGTGCTTGTATGAATGTGCATCTTTTGGGTATATGCCCAAGAGTGGTATTATTGAATCTTGAGGTAGATTTTCCTGAGGAAACACCATACTGATTTCCAAAGAGGCTGTATGAGTTTGCTCATACTCCACGAGCAGTGGAGTAGTGTGTCCCCCTCCACATCCTCCCCAGCACAAACTGTCTGAATTATGGAAGTGGGGGGGGGCAGTGAATGGAGAGAGAAGTAGGAGAAAGAGAAGGGGAGGAGAGGAAAGCACATGGGACTAGGGTAGGAATAGAAGACAGAACAGAGAGAGAGAGAGAGAGAGAACATAAAAGAGGGAGCCATTATAGGTTTAAAGAGAAAACTGAACCTAAAGAAAGGTCTAGAGACCTACAAGACTGCTGCCAACTAACAGACTGAGCAACCGTGGAAAGGCTACCATAAATGCCCTTCCCAGATAGTGAGATCAACAACTAACTTATCCACCATCATGGAGTCCTCATCTAGTACCTGTTGGAAACAGAAGCAAACACCCACAACTAAACATTGAGTCGAACTAGGATCCAGATGCAGAGGGAGAGGACAAGACCAAGTTGCAGAAACACATAGAGGCAGCTGACCTGAACAAGGAGGAGCTAATGGGCCCCCAGACTGATATCTGGGAAGCCAGTATGGGACTGACTCAGACCCCCTGAATATAGGTCTCAGCTAGAAGGCCTGAGCAGTCTAAGGGGCCTCAGACAGTGGAACCAGGATGTATTCCTGGTACACAAAAGACCTTGCGGACACATCCCCCATGGAGGGATCCTGCCTTAACCTAGAGACAGGAGAGAAGTCCTAGTCGCTACTTCAAATGACTTCTCAGATCTACATGACCCCCACCTGGTTGGCCTTGTGATAAATATGGAATTGGGTAGGGGGATGGGAAGGGAGGGTGGTCAGGATGCATGTGAGGGGGCAGGGAAGGAAAGAGGGAGGGAGTGAGAGAGGGAGAAAGGGAGAGAAGGAAGGAGAGGGAGGAAGAGAGGGAAAGAGGCAGGGAGGGAAGGAGAAGGAACTGAGATGGACATGTAAAATAAAAAAAAATAAATTAAAAACATAATACATGTTGATAGGACATTTTCAAGCATTGAAAAATTAAACCTATGGGTGAAAGTGGTAGGCCACAATTTTAAACAAACACTTGGTAAATAGAGAGTTCTAGCCCAGCCTGATCTACATAACCAGCTCCGGGAGAGCCAGTGCTCCACAGAGAAAGCCTCTTTCCAATCAGCAACAGCAATAATTAAAACCATGAGGATAAGAAAATAAAGAGGATGAAATAAATTTAATGCATGACCAGAAAATGAACATTACAGGACAAAGTGGGTGTGTCTCAAGGGTGGAGTAGATGATAGGCATAGAATCCTGGAGGGCCTGCCATCAAACCCTGGCTCCAAAAGTAAGAGAAATAAACTATATTTACTGAACTCTCTCCATCTTCAACTGGGTGATCAAACAGACACAAAGATAGACATGTTTGGCAAGTTCCCTGAAGGCAAGACCATCCCCATGGAGGTCCAGTGCAGTGACTCCATGGGCAATGTCAAGACCAAGACCCGAGAAGATGAAGACGTCCGGAACGTTCCAACATTGGCTGATAATTACTGAGAAAAGATAGAGGATGGCTAAATGCTGGCCAATGGCAAAGGCCAGAAAGATTCCCACCCTGAATCTGGTGCTGCAGCTGCATGGTGGCATCATAGAGCCATCCCTTTTCCAGTATCTCCAGGAGGACATGTATGACAACTCTGCCATGCTCTGCTGCTCACAAGTGCTCTCCACACTCCCAGCTCTCTGTGGTCAACTGACCAGAGAAGGGGCCACACCGACAACCTGCAGCCCAAGAAAACCAAAAAGCCAGGTGACTTTCTTGGCCCAGGAACCTTGAGACACAAGCAAGTGGTTATTTTTGTTTGCTTGTTTGTTATTGTTGTTTTTCTGCCTGGACAGAAAATCTAAGCAGAGTGATGATGCTAAGACTGGGCTAGTGACATGGACCAGTGTATATCTCCTGCTGCCAACCGTCAGCCCCGACTCTGTTCCATAGCATGCAAGGAGTAAACTGCCTTGTGAACGTGTCCTCGGACTTCAATGCGTGTGCTGTGACATATGTGAATTTACGGACATAATGAATAAATGAATGTAATGTATTACTATTACATGAGTATAATTTAAAACTAAATGCAAATAAATAAGTGTAGTAATGGAAAGTATGCATATCAAGAAGGAAGAAACCACCAGAAAAAGTAACGTACACGTAGTTTTGTTTGTTTTTTTAAGATTTATTTATTACTATGAATAATCTTCTACCTGGATGTGTACCTGCACACCTGAAGAGGGAACCAGATCACGTTACAGATGGTTGTGAGCCACCATGTGGTTGCTGGAAATTGAACGCAGGACCCTGGATCAGCAGCCAATGCTGTGAACCTCTGAGCCATCTCTCCAGCACCTCGTGCACACTTGTGAGCCAGCAATGAGACTATGAGGAAGTGTATTACCAATGTTATTGCATGCAGATGTACAGAGGCAGACCCTGTACAGAAAACTTCAAACATTTTGAATATAAAAAACATTTCAAGTAAAAAAAAATGTGAACAAGATCAAAGCAAGCTGACCTGAAAATTTTCATTTCTTACGTATAGTATTCATACTTGTCAGCTACCATCTGGTCCTCACAAAGATGAGGACATTTACACAGACAATGAAAGGATTTTGGAAATGACAACCACTAAATACTGAAGCAGTCTCCTGCCTGACACAGCCACAGCTTTGGGGAAGTCAGAGCCTGGTGTGAGAAGAGGGCAGTTCCCCTTCCTGTGGGGCTGCTGAAGTACAACCATGTCATGGGGAGTGGGCTGTCTCAAGAGGCCGCACCCTATGTCTCCTGCCCCTTCTACAGACTCTGTAGCTCTGCCCATTAGTACAACAGCAGCCTCCAGGAGGAGATGCCATGACCTTCACCTTCACAGCCCTGCTCTGTCTGGGTGAGATGTGGGGATGGGGAGGGGACATGGAATCGGGGATTGACGCTGCCCCACAGCCCAGCACTGGTCAGTAGAGAAACCCCAGGGTCTCAGGAGGTTCTGCAGAGTCAAGGACCTTCTCAAGCTTCAGGGACAAACCTCTCACAGGGATCTCTCTTCCAGGACTGGCTCTGGGCCTTGGGACACCAGTGCTGGCAGGTGAGTGAGGGTCTGCAGATGTCCTGACATCACTTGTCATCATTCCTGGAGCCGTTCTGGGCAGTGAGGATGGAAACCACACATGTGTGCTGCTGCCTCTGGGGATGGCTGGAGGGTTGGGGTCAGGGCTGCAATCTGATGATGGCTGCCCTAGTTCCTAGCTGATCTTTTCCTTGCAGGAATTCCACCGAAACCTGTGCTAAGAGTACAGCCAGACTATGCTGTCCCCGAGAATTCGACAGTGACCTTGCTGTGTGAGGGGACCATGAGAGCTACATACTACTATCTGTATAAAAATGGAAAACGATGTTCACTGCACACAGAGATTTTACAGAATAACAGCAAGGCTGCATTCTCAATATCAAAAATAGGTCCTCATGAAGCAGGTAGATATTACTGTGAATATTGGAGCAGTGATGGATGGTCAGGGTACAGTGACCCCGTGGAGCTGGTGGTGACAGGTGAGAGGACTCAGAGTCCACAGACTCAGGGTTGACTGTTAAGAAGCGGGTCTGTACACGGGGATGATTCCCCTCACAACCCTGGAGGATAATGAGGCCTTTGAGGACATTTAATTGACTAATTCCCGCTTCTGTCCAGGGGCCTCCAATAAACCCATCCTAAGAGCACGGCCCAGCCCTGTGGTGAGTGAAGGAATGAATGTCACCCTCCAGTGTGTCTCAAGGCAACCACAAAACAGTTTCATTCTGACTAAGGATGGACAACCGAAGAGCTCTTCCACGCTGGGATCACAGTATGACCACTCTACTGATCCTTATCAGGCCCTGTTTTCTGTGGGTCCTGTTACCTCCAGCCAAAGGTGGACATTCAGATGCTATGGCTTTAATAAGAACAGCACACTGGTGTGGTCAGAACCTAGTGACCCCCTTGAGCTCCTGTTCTCAGGTGAGGAGCACCAGCCTTTCCCTAGAAAGATACTGAAATGTGCCTTGTGCTGAGGGAGGCCTTGGTGTGTGGTGTGTAAGGAGCCAGGGCTCCTGGTCCCATTGACAGATCATAGGAGACAGAGGGACACAAGACACAGAAGTCAAGGCAGAGAGTATCATGAGAGTCTAGGAGGTCCAGGGACAGAGCAAACTTCACGAAGCCACTTGGTGCTCTGGACCAGCTTAAATAGCAACCAACTGAGCTCCGGTAACTCCACAGAACAGCGAGGAAGGTTTGGAGAAGACAGAGCACTCTGGAGACCAAGAGAACATGGCCGGTGGATCTTCTATCCAGGGATCATGAGAGCTCACAGAGACTGAAGCAGCAACCATGGAACATGCAGGGTCTTCCCTAGGCCCTGCGCACACACGCCATGCTGCTTTACCCTGGTTCTGATTTTCTTTCTTTCTTTCTTTTTTATTTTACATATTGATCCCACTTCTCTCTCCCTCCCTCTTTCCCTCTCTCCCACTCACATGCACCCCGACCACCCTCCCCTCCCACCCACCCCCACTCCACATGTAGGGTGATGCCATACATAAGGGGTCAACTATATCTGTCAAGTCATTTGAAGTAGGGTCTAGGACTTCTCTCCTGTCTCTAGGATAAGAGAGTTTCCCTCCATGGGGGATGTTCCCACAATGTCCTTTTGTGCACAAGGAATACATCCTGGTTCCACTGTCTGAGGTCCCTTAGACTGCTCAGGCCTTCTGCCTGAGAACCATGTTCAGGGAGTCTGAGTCAGTCCCATGCTGGATTCCCAGCTATCAGTCTGGGACCCGTTAGCTCCTCCTTGTTCAGGTCAGCTGTCTCTATGTGTTTCTGCACCCTGGTCTTGTCCTCCTCTCCTTCTGCTTCTGGATTCTAGTTCGACTCAGTGTTTAGTTGTGCGTGTTTGCTTCTGTTTCCACCAAGTACTAGATGAGAGCTCTATGATGGTAGATAAGTTAGCCGTCGATCTCATTATCAAGGAAGGACATTTATGGTAGGCTTTCCACTGCTGTTCAAATTGTTAGTTGGAGTCAGTCTTGTAGGTCTCTGGACATTTCTCTAGGTTCAGTTTTCTCTTCAAACCTATAATGGCTCCCTCTTTTATGTTATCTATCTATCTATCTATCTATCTATCTATCTATCTACCTTTTCTATCTTCTATTCCTCCCCTGATTCAATCTTCCTACTCACACGAGCTTTCCTCTCCTCCCCTTCTCTTTCTCCTTACTCCCTCTCCGCTCACTGCCCCCCCACTCCCATGTGCTCTGAAGAACGTTTCTATTCCCCCTTCTGTGAGGGACCTTATTTGAATCTCTTAGAATCCTCTTTTTATCCTAGTTCCTCTGGCAGTGTAAATTATGGGCTGGTGATCTTTAGCTCTAGGCCTAAAATCCATATATGAGAAAGTACATACCATGTTCCTCTTTTTGTGACTGGGTTACCTCATTCAGGATGGTTTCTTCTAGTGCCATCCACTTGCCTGCAAATTTCAACTTTCCATTGTTTCTTTCTGCAGAGTAGTATTCCATTGTGTAGATGTGCCACGTCTTCATTATCCATTCTTCAGTTGAGGGGCATCAAGGTTGCTTCTAGGTTCTTGATATTACAAATAATGAGCATAGTTCAGCACATATCTTTGTTGCATGGATGTGGATCATTTGGGTATATACCTAAGACAGGGATTGCTGGGTCCTATGGTAAACTAATTCCTGTTTTCCTGAGGAACTGCCATACTGGTCTCCAAAATGGCTGTACAAGTTTGCACTCCCACCAGCAGTGGAGGAGTGTTCCCCTGTCTCCACATCCTCTCCAGCATAAGTTGTCACTGGTGTTTCTAATTTTAGCCATCCGGGCCAGAATAAGATGGTATCTCAGAGTGGTTTTGATTTGCATTTCCCTGAAATGTAAAGATGTTGAACACTTTCTTTAGTGTCTCTCAGCCTTTTTGAATTCCTCTATTGAAAATTCTTTCTTCAGTTCTGTACCCCATTTTTAAAATAGGGTTATTTGGTGTTTTGCTGACTAATTTCTTGAGTACTTTGTATATTGTGGAGATCAGCCCTTTGTCAAATGTAGGATTGGTGAAAATCTTTTCCCAGTATGTGGGCTACCGTTTGGTCTTGTCCACTGTGTTCTTTGCCTTACAGAATCTTCTAAGTTTGAAGAGGTCCCATTTATTAATTGTCAATCTCAGTGTCTGTGCTACTGGAGTTATGTTCAGGAAGCAGTCTCCTATACCAATTTGTTCAAGGGTACCTCCTACTTTCTCTTCTAAGAGATTCAGTGTGGCTAGATTTATGGTGAGGTCTTTGATCCATTTGGACTTGAATTTTGTGCATGGTGATAGACATGGGTCTACTTGCAGTCTTCTACACACCATCATCCAATTGTGCCAGCACCATTTGTTGAAGATGCTTTCCTCCCCCCATTGTATACATTTAGCTATTTTGTCAAAACTCAGGTGTTCGTACGTGTGTGGGTTAATATCAGGATTTTGAATTCCATTTCATTGGTCTACCTGTCTATTTTTGTGCAAATACCAGGCTGTTTTCAGGACTATAGCTCTATAGTAGAGCTTAAAGTCAGGGATGGTGATGCCTCCTGAAGTTCATTTATTGTACAGGGCTATCCTGGGACTTTCGTTTTTCTATATAAAGTTGATTATTATCCTTTCAAGATCAGTGAAGAATTGTGCTGGGATTTTAATGGGGATTGCATTGAATCTGTAGATTGCTTTTGGCAAGATTGCCATTTTTACTATATTTATCCTACCTATCCAAGAACATGGGAGATCTTTCCATTTTCTGTTATCTTCTTTAATTTCTTTCTTTAAAGTCACAAAGTTCTTATTATATAGGTCTATCACTTGTTTGGTAAGCATTACCCCAAGATACTTTATGTTGCTTGTGGCTATTGTAAAGGTTGATATTTCTCTGATTTCTTTGTCAGCCCCTCTGTCGTCTGAATAAAGAAGGGCTACTGATTTTTTTGAGTTTATCTTGTATCCTGCTAGTTTGCTGAAGGTGTTTATCATCTGTAGGCATTCCATGGTAGAGTTTATTGGGTCGCTTATATGTAAACTATCATATCATCTGCAAATAGAGACAGTTTGACTTCTTCCTTTCCAATTTGGAACCCCTTGATCTCCTCTTGTTGTCTTATTGCTTTAGCTAGAACTTCAAGTACAATATTGAAGAGATATGGAGAGAGAGGGCAGCCTTGTCCTGTTCCTGATTTTAGAGGAATGACCTTAAGCTTCTCTCCATTTAGTTTGATGTTGGCTGTTGGTTTGCTGTATATTGTTCTTATTATGCTTAGGTAGGTTCCTGTTATCCCTGATCTCTCCAAGACCTTTATCATGAAAATGTGTTGAATTTTGTCGAAGGCTTTTTCAGCATCTAGGGAGATAATCATATGGTTTTTCTTTTTCTGTTTGTTTATATGGTGAATCACATTGATAGATTTTTCATATGTTAAACCATCCCTGCAATTCATGGATGAAGCCTACTTGTTCATGGTGGATGATTTCTCTGATATATTCTTGGATTCGGTTTGCCAGTGTTTTATTGAATATTTTTGCATGGATGTTCATCAGGGATAGTGGTCTGTAGTTTTCTTTCTTAGTTGTGTCTTTGTGAGGTTTGGGTACCAAGGTTATTGTAACCTCATAAAAAGAGTTTGGCAATGAACCTTCTGTTTCTATTTTGTGGAACAGTTTGAGGAGTATTGATATTAGTTCTTCCTTGAATGTCTGGTAAAATTCTGCACTGAATCCATCTGGCCCTGGACTTTTTTTGGTTGGAAGGCTTTCGATGACTGCTTCTATTTCATTGCGGGTTATTGGTCTATTTAAGTTGTTTGTCTGTTCTTGACTTAATTTTGGTAAGTGATAGTTATCCAGAAATTTGTCCATTTCCTTTGCATTTTCAATTTTTGTGGAATACTGGTTTTCAAAGTATGACCTGAAAATTGTCTGGATTTCCTCTGTGTCCGTTGTTTTGTTTCTGATTTTGTTAATTTGCATGTTCTCTCTCTGCTTTTTCATTAGTTTGGATAGAGGCTTGTCTATCTTGTTGATTTTCCCAAAAAAATCCAACTCTTTGTTGCATTGATTTTTTTTGTATTGTTTTCCTGGTTTCTATTTTGTTGATTTCAGCCTTCAAATTGATTATTTCCTGGCATCTACTCCTCCGGGATGAGTTTGCTTCTTTTTGTTCTAAGGCTTTCAGTTGTACTGTTAATTCTCTAATGTGACTATTCCGTTTTCTTCATATGGGCACTTAGTGCAATAGACTTCCATTGTAACACTGCTTTCAAGGTGTCTCACAAGTTCGGGTATGTTGTGTCCTCATTCTCGTTGAATTTTAGAAAGTCCTTAATGTCTTTATATATTTCTTCTTTGACCCAGGTGTGGTGCAATTGCACATTGTTCAGTTTCCATGAGTTTGTAGGTTTTCTACAATTTGCATTGTTGTTGAATTCCAATTTTAAAGCATGGTGGTCTGATAAGATACAGGAGACTATTCCAGTTCTCTTGTATCTGTTGAGATTTGTTATGCCACCTAGTATGTGGTGGATTTTAGAGAAGGTTCCATGTGGAGCAGAGAAGAAGTTATATTCTTTTGTGTTTGGATGGAATGTTCTCTAGATGTCTGTTAAACCCAGTTGGGACATAACTTCTGTTAGTTCTTTTGTTTCTTTGTTGAGTTTCTGATTGGTGGTCCTGTCTAGTGGTGAGAGTGGTGTGTTGACGTCTCCCACTATACGTGTGTGAGGTTTTATGTGAGTTTTGAGTTTTATTAGCGTTGCTTTTACGAATGTGGGTGCCTTTGTATTTGGGACATAGATCTTCAAATTGTGTTGATAGATTTCTCCTGCGATGAATACGAAATGACCGTCTTCATCTCTTTTGATTAATTTTGGTTTGAAGTCTAACTTGTTCGATATTAGGATAGCCATACCTGCTTGCTTCTTGGGTCCATTTGATTGGAAGATCTTTTCCCAACCCTTTATCCTGAGGTAATGTCTGTCTTTGAAGCTTAGATGTGTTTCTTGTATGCAGCAGAAGAATGGATTCTGTCTTTGTATCCATTCTGTTAGCCTGTATCTTTTTATAGGTGAGTTAAGACCATTAATGTTGAGGATGAGTAAGGACTATTGATTGTTAATGCTTGTTTGTTTTAGATTTGTTGTTGACAGTGGTATTGTGAATATATGTGTCCTGCTTTACCCTTGGTTTCTGGTGTAGTGGGATTATCTGCTGTGTATGTCTTTGTGAGTGTAGTTAACTTCCTTGGGTTGGAGTTTTCCTTCCAGAACTTTCTGTAGGGCTGGATTTGTAGATATGTATTGTGAAAATCTGGCTTTGTCATTAAATATCTTGTTTTCTCCATCTATAGTGACTGGGAGTTTTGCTGGGTATAGTAGCCTAGGCTGGCATCCATGGACTCTTTGTACTTGTAGAACATCTATCCAAGACCTTCTGGCCTTGAAGGTTCCTATGGAAAAGTCAGGCAGAATTTTGAAAGGTCTGTCTTTATATGTTACCTGTCCTTTTTCCTTCGCTGCTCTTAATATTCTTTCTTTATTCTGTATGTTAGGTGTTTTGATTATTATATGTCGAGGGGTCTTTTTACTTTGGTCCAGTCTATTTGGTGTTTGGTATGCTTCTTGTACTTTCATGGGCATGTCCTTCTTCACATTGGGAAAGATTTCCTCGATGATTTTGTTGAATATGTTTTCTGCACCTTTGAGTTGGGCTTCCTCACCTTCCTCTATGCCTATTATTCTTAGGTTTGGCCTTTTCAGGGTGTCCCACATTTCCTGAATGCTTTGTGTTAAGGATTTGTTGGATTTATGATTTTCTTTGATCGATGTATCTATTTCCTCTAGTTTATCTTCCACGCCTGAGATTCTCTCTTCCATCTCTTGTATTCAGTTATGTGTGCGTCTGTAGTTCCAGATCATTTGCCCAGTATTTCTATTTCCAGCATCCAGCTTTCCTTCGGTTTGTGTTGTCTTTATTTTCTCTATTTCAGTTTTCAAGTCTTGAACCATTTCCTTCACCTGTTTGTTTTTTCTTGGCTTTCTGTACTTTCTTTAAGAAATTTGTTCATTTCTTCCCATTTTTTGTTTGTTTTTCTTCCATTTCTTTAAGGGATTTTCTCACAACTTCTTTGATGGCCTCTATCATTTTTATGACAATAATTTTTAAGTCATTCTCTTCTGCTTCATCTGCTTTGCTGTGTTCAGGTCTAGTCGGTGTAGATTCCCTAGATTCTGGTGGTATCATGCTTGTCTTTCTGTTGTTAGGTGTTTTCTTTTATTGGCATCTTCTCATAGCTTCTTCCAGTAGGTGTTGGTGGGGTCTCTCCCTTTCTTTGTGGTACTTTCCCGGTGGGCTTAGGTGGGTCAGAGGTTTGATGTCTGTAGCTCTGGGTAGTTCAAGCTCTTTAAGAGGTCTCTCCACAGGCAGGGGCCCGGCGATGGAGGTCAGCAATCAGGCTCCTGCTGACTAGCAAAGGGAGTCAAAGATCCCGAAGGCTGGGACTCAGGATGTTCCTCTTGCCTATAAGCAGATCTAGCCTGGGACTGGTACTCTCCAGCTGAAGCCTCTTCAGCAGAGGCCCTGCTATGGGGGTCAAGGATCCTGCCAGCAGGAACTCAGAGTGGTCCTGCAGAGATAGGTGGATATCTGGGAGTGACCTGGAGCTCTAGTAGAGGACCAGTGGTGGGGGTCGGAGACCAGGCAGGCAGATGGAAATTACGTGTGGTCCCCCGTGGACAGACAGGCCAATGTGCTCAGAGCTGCTCTTGGAATTTCCCCCAAAGGTGTCTGGATTGTTGGCTCCACCCTCTGTCCCAAAGCTCAACCAGAGAGGTGGGACAGTGGGCAGGGTAGGGCACAGGGTAGGGGGGGCAGGGTCTCGGTGGGGGGTCTGTGGTGGTGTATCACAGCTCCAAGAGCAGTCTCGATGGGGACAGGGCACAGTGCCAGGGAGATCCTGGGCCAACCCAGGGAATTCCAGGGAAGGGTATAGGGGAGAATCCACCCGAATTGGTCCCAGACTCACCTCTAGCCAAGGCCTGGGGATGGGGGACAAAGGCTGGGCTGAACTCAGGATGTTTCCACAATGACAGGCAGACCTGGCACTCTCCAGCTGAGGCCTCTTTAGCAGAGGCCCTACAGTGGGCATCAAGGCAGGTCAAGTGTACTGAGAGCCGCCCCCAGAAGTTCACCGAAGGTCTTGGTTTTGTTTTTTAGAGGTTCACTATGTATGATGTCTGTCCTTGACATCACTCTGTAGATCAGGCTGGTCTGTAACTCACAGGGATCTGCCTCCATTTGCCTCCTGAGTGCTAGGATTAAAGGCATGTGCCACCACTGCCTTACTCATAACTATAGGAGACTGTAGGTCTCTGACTGCAGAGGGGATCTTTCTCCTCCTACCGGGTTGCCTTCTCTGGCCTTAATGGGGTGTTTGTCTAGTCTCACTGCATGTTATTCTGTCATGTTCCATTAATATCATTGGGAACCCTACGCTTTTCTGAAAGGAAGCAGGAGCAGTGTATCTGGGGGAGAGGGGAGGTTTGGAGACTGCGGTCAGGGTGCCTTGTTTGACAGAAAAATAGTTTAAACAGAAAAAGTGCTGTCTGCAAGTGTAACTGATTCTTTGCCACTTTGACACAGACCCACCTCCTTCTCTATTTCCCAGCAGGGTCCCTCCACAAACCCACCCTCAGGGCTGAGCCAGGCCCTGTCATCGCCTCAGGAAGATCCATGAACATCTCCTGTCAGGGGACCCTGGATGCAGAAATGTGTTTTCTGCATAAAGAGGGTACACAGACCACAAACGAGATTGGGAACAAGTACACACGCTCCATTCCTTCTGTGGCACAGCAACATGCAGGACAGTATCGCTGTTACTGTTACAGCTCAGCTGGCTGGTCAGAGCGCAGTGACACCCTGGAACTGGTGGTGACAGGTGAGGGGACAGTCGAAGTCTCAGCCCCAGGCCCTGCTCTCAGATGTATTACCTTCTCCCAGCCTAGCACTGTGACTGTGCAATCCCATGTAACTGGCTGCTCCTTCTGTCCTAGGAATGTACAATGATAACCCCTTCCTGACAGCACTGCCCAGCCCTGTGGTGACCTCAGGAGGGAACATGACTCTGCAGTGCGTCTCACGGTATGGATATGACAAGTTCGTTCTCACCAAGGAAGATGAGAAATTCTCCAGCTCCCTGGACTCACAATACATATACAAGAAGGGGCACCACCAAGCCACATTCTCTGTGGGCTCTGTGACCCCAGTCCACAGTGGGACATTCCGATGTTATGGTTACTTAAAGAACACCACACACTTGTGGTCAGTACCCAGTGACCCCCTGAAAATACACATCTCAGGTGAGTCAGCCACATCATTGCCCAAGTTTTCTGGACCCCAAAAAACTGCCTCTGTGGGGTTGTAGGTAGAGAATGACTAAATGGAGAGCCTGTACCCTGAGCCAGTGCCTGACACCTGGGGAGAGGATGTCACATATTCAGGGAATGATGGGAGGGGATAGGTGTTTGGGAAGAAAACCAGCTTCTTAATCACTAGCCTGTCGCTTTCCCTCCAGGCCTGTCCAAGAAGCCCTCCCTGCAGACTCAGCAAGGCCACATCCTGGACCCTGGAAAGAGCCTCACCCTGCAGTGTTGCTCTGACATCAACTATGACAGATTTGCTCTGTACAAGGTGGGGGGAACAGACTTCACCCAGCATCATGGCCAGAGGACCCAGGCTGGCCTCTCAGTGGCAAACTTCACACTGGGCTCTGTGAGCAGAACTACCGGTGGCCAGTACGGATGCTATGGTGCACACAACCTCTCCTCTGAGTGGTCAGCCTCCAGTGATCCCCTGGATATATTGATCTCAGGTGAGGAACTAAATAGAATCAATCTGGTACCGTAATCTCTCATTTGGGATGTAAGAGCTGACGGCTGGGATGAGGGACTGGGAACTTATTACAGAACAGATGCAGAGACAGGGAGCAGGAGAGAGGGTAAGGCAGAGACAAGAAGAGTCCCAGGTGCTCAGAGTCAAACCCCTGTGAAGTCTCAGCTCAGACCATTGAATGCAGCCTCTCATTGTCTCTGTCTATTTAGGAGAGATTCCTGCAACTCCTTCCCTCTCAGTGAAGCCAAACTCCACAGTACAGTCTGGAGACAACGTGACCCTGCTGTGTCAGTCAACATACACAGTGGACACTTTCATTCTGTCCAAGGAGGGAGCAGCACACCAACCCCAGCGAATGAAATCAAAGTCCCAAGATTGGGGGTCCCAGGCTGAATTCTCCATGAGTGCTGTGACCTCTGCCCTCTCAGGCACCTACAGGTGCTATGGTTCTCGAGACTCATCTCCCTACCTGCTGTCACATGCCAGTGCCCCTGTGGAGCTCTGTGTCTCAGGTGAGGTGACCCTGAGCTCTCCAGGTAATTTGAACTCCAAATTCTAGAAGAGCCCTTGGATGGATGGTGTGTGACTAAAAGGACAACAGGAAGGGTTAGTCACAAGGCAACTTCCCTAGTAGAGAACTGGATGCCAACAGGGTCCCTCAAGTAATGCCCACTCCATCCTCCATTGCAGTCTAGGTTTGGGGTAGAGAGGAGAAGAGTCTTGGGGAGGTTACTGGGCAGATGTAACAGACAGCAGAGTCCAGCAGAGTCAGGTCCCTGGTTAGCGTCTACTCATCACCCTGCTTGTTCTGTGTGCTGGGACATATTAGAGCCTCCCGCCCACCACACTCAAGGCCCTTGAAACAGCTGCTAAGTATCAGTCCCCTCAGTGGAGGGAATGGTGTCCATGCCCAGGCTGCCTCACTTGAGCCCACCAGTGCCATCAGTTCTCTCTCACTTAGCTTGTGAGAGTGGGAGGCAAACAGAGATCCCAAAAGAGAACCCAGAAGCCCAGGACTGACAGGTCAGCATACAGAAGATGGTGTCCAGATAGGCATCCTTTAGATCAGTGTGGAGGATGGGCAGGTGGGTGTGGTGGAGAGCAGGGATCCCAGACTCTCACCTCCCCATCAGCCCCTAAGGTCCTGAGAACAGGCCTCTCACCTGCATTGAGTCAGGCTATCCCAGAAGGCTATGTAACCATCCTGGGATGTGGTCCCCACATGGACCATAGCCAGTTATGGGCTTGATACAGCTGCTTCTGGATATGCTGACTTGGACACATCCTTCCCATTCTGGGCTGGCAGCTGTTTCTCTGAGTATGAAGGGGAGAGGCCTAGCCCACATGTGTCAATTTCTTCAGTGCAGGCCTTGGATGGCTCCTATACTAAAGAGGAGACCTGCTGAGGTGAGACGCCAGTAGGTCTGTCCCACTGTGTTGGAGAAATGGGCACGAGTGGGGCACAGGACATGGGCTGGGCATTCCTGCTTTTTCCCTGCAGATCAGGCTTGTGAAGTCTGCAATCTTCACTTCACGGTGAAACACAGAAAATGATAAGTGTGTGGATTCACCTTCGTTTGTGTTGTGTCAGCTAAGAATGGCTTCTGCTTGCCCTTGGTACGTTTTGCAATAGGGGCCACCAGTGATTATCCACGCTTGTCCTTGAGTCCCCTAAAGTGGTGGGATACCTACAGCACTCGATGCTCTCACTACAGCCTGGACTGTTTCTTCAAATAATTATCGCTTCTGAAGACGACAAAAGGAAAGATTAGAATCAATCTTGGGACCTATACTTAATATCAGCTACCCATACTGTTGGTGAAATTGTTAGGTGAGATCTCAATGGCTTATCATCCACTGTCTTTCCTCGTTTACACACACACACATGCGTGCACACACGCACACACACGCACAAGCACACACACATGCACACGCACACACATGCGCGCGCACAGGCACACACACGTACACGTGCACACACACGCACGCACACACGCATGCACACACACACTTCACATCTACTTTTGAGAACCAGGTCCACAAAACACTGTGCATGTCGCCTCCACATACCTTGGTCCAGCATTTCCCACATGATATGTGGAAGAAAACAGACCGAGGGCAATCTACATAAGAAGCATTTGCTCCTACCTAAACTCAACATGGGGAAATTTCTTGATGTGATGTGATAGGAACATCAGATAAATGTGATCAATAAGACATAGGTTGTACCTGGAAAGAATTTATTTACCTATCAACCAAAAATGAATAAAGGAGATGTGGTTCATCTACACAGGGGAGTACTAGTCAGAGGGAAAAAAAGATGTGATGATGAAATATGCAGGCAAATGGATGGAACTACAAAAACATACACTAAGTTAGATAACAAAGGCCCAGGAGACAAACACAGTATGTACTCACACAGAAGTGGATATTCCACGTAAAACAAAGAATAACCAGGCAACAGTCCATGGCCCCAGAGAAGCTAGGTAAGCAGGATAACACTAGAGAGACACAAATGGATCCCCCTGAGAAAGGGAAATAGGCAAGATCTCCTGAGAAAATTGGCATCATAATGTGGGGAGAAGAGAGGGAGGGAGAGGAGGAGGGGAGGGGGGAGGGGAACAAGAGGGAACTGGATGGCCAAGATGGGGGACAGAGAAGGACAGAGGAGGAGAGCAAGGAAAGAGGTGTCTTTATTGAGGGAGTCATTGTGCAGCTAGTTACACGTGTGACACAAAGGAGATTCTCAGGAATCCAAAAAGATGGCCCCAACTAAGACCCTAAGCATTAGTGGATAGTGGAATGTGCAGTCTCTGAAGCCACTGGCAATAGGACCAGAAATGCATCCCTACTGCTTGGAAAGGCTTTCTGGAGCTCGTTATCTTTGGAGGGATACCTTGCTCAGCCTAGATATTAGGGGGAGGAGGCTGGAGTCCTGCCTCAAAGAGATGTGTCACGCCTTCTTGACTCCAAATGGGAAGCCTTACTCCCTGTGAGGATTGGATGGAGGTGAGGCGGAGGGAAGGTGGGAAAGCCGGCGGAGGGGATGGAGTGGGAACTGGAGTTGGTATGTAAAATAAGAAAAACTTGTTCAAAATTTACAATCTGGTTTTAAAATGCCTTTGGTTGTAAGCCTAACAGAAACCATTCCTCATTTCAGATAAACTGTACAGTAGTTTGTCCTCAACCACCTCTAGGTGGTCTGAAGGAATTCAGAAATATTTAGGAAAATGCTCGCATCACAGGAGGAAAGGGAGTTCTCAGTGTGACTGGGGAAAAAATGCAAAACTAAAATCCACTGAGGAAATCATCCTAGACTGAGAACCTGAATCTGCACAGCATCTGCTGATCTGATCAGAGATGCCACACTCAGACACTGCTGGGGCTGCTCAGTGCAGTGAAATATAAATCAATGCCACATAGTGTCAATTCATTCTACTCTGAATTTACTGGTTTCAGGGGTGTGGCCAAAGTGGTTCTGAAGTGTGTAATAAGAACTCCTAGTGGATACAGAGTGTTTCTGACCCTATCACTGACTTTTGGGATCTGAATGTTCTACCTGTCTAATGATCCTGTTCCTCAGACTGGATCACCTTGCTCAGCCTTAAGATAGGGGGAGGTAATTAGTCTTACTACAACTCTATGTAACATAACGTGTTGATGATACTCGTGGCAGATCTGTCCTTTCCTAAACAGAAATAGAGAAGGAGTGAATTCACTGGTAGGAAATAAGTGGATTTGGAATAGGTTTTGTAGTGTAAATTCTAGCTGGGATGTCAAATACATGTATATATATACATGTATGTACATATATATATGTACATATATATATGTACATAAACATATATGTGTGTATGTGTGTATATATATATACATATATAATGTATTTTAAGAAAATGAATAAGAGATGAAAACTGGCTAAGCCATCAGAACGATTCATCCCAGATTTCATGAGTTTATAGGATGAGAATAATGTGTATTTACACTAAATGAGACGGTTGAATGAAAAAGAAACACTCTTATGTCTTAAGGATGCAAATTTTTTCTCCTGGTCTTGCAAACACTTGAGAATATTATTCCATCCTAGAGCATGTGCAAATGCAAGACAGTTGAATAAACGCACATCAAAGTCAGCACTGGAATCAGAAACTCCAAGATTTGTCCACGGAAGTTAGTGGCCCTGGGTGTACATTTAGTGCTCTTGGGGACATTTAGGTACCTTGAGGAAATTCTGACCATCCCTAACCTCTGTATATTCTTTGTCCACAACCACAGCCTCACAGAAACAGGACCACACAGTGGAGAATCTCATCAGGATGGGGATTGCTGTTCTGATCCTCATAGTCCTTGGGATTCTGGTCTTTGAGTCTTGGGACAGCCAGAGCCAGGCCCAACAAGCAGCTGAGAGGTATTCTGAAGAGAAACAAACTCATCTCTGAAGTTTCCAGATTCCGGGGGAAAAAAACAGATGATCCGAGTTTCTGTAAGAAAATCCTGTTCTTACACTGATGCACTGGTATGAGAGAATGTCCAGGGAACAGTGTGATTTGTGGGCAGAGGAAGGTGTGAGTGCTGGGATCAGCTCCTTTATCAGCGAATGAATTTACATCCTTCCCCCTACTACAGGCATTTGCAGATGAACCAACTCTCTCTGGGTCTATAAACAGAGGAAATATGGATTCCCATATGTCTGTCTAGCTTTGGGTTCCCATTTCTGTACATTGTTTCTTTCTCTCCCTCTGATGTGTCTTTTTCAATTCTTTAAATTGCCACATTCTCTGTAACAGGAGTTTTTGTTTGTTAGTCTAGACACAAAGAAGTTGGGCCAATAACAAAAATGATGAATAAGGTAAGAGCTCAGATTAAAGACAGTGTGCCTAGGAGGCCCCTAAACTTTGTCTGTGTACATTCAGTCTCAGTCTTCTTGGAGTTTCTCTTGAAATATAAAGCCTAAGTTACTACAGTTGTGGAATAAGGGCTGTGTGTCAAGAGAGTGTGGGCACAGCTACAAAAATGTTTTCTTAACACAAAGTCCTGATTTGTTCCACTTTCTGACCACTCCATACAACCCCATCAAAGACCGCTTCACAGGAGCAATGCTGCGCCACAGGGTTGGGGGGGGGTGTCGCACGAAACTGATGTGTTCTTCATGTGATTCTCCACTGCCTAATTTTCATATATGCAAAAGAAGTGGACATGCGGATCAATAATGCCAGAATCATCTTGTTAGGATGATTTATCATGCAATGATTCCTAATTTCTACATAGATAATCACATTATCTTGAAACAGTGATGTTTATTTCATTCTGTCTCACTCTTTTGACTATCCTTGGAATGCTCTTTGACTTTACTCTTTTATATGTATGATCTAAGTATTCAAACACGAAGTCAAAGCTGTGTGAAGAGAGGAAAAGTCTGTTTTCTTCTTTAGGATTTAATGCAAGATAGCTACTTTCTCACCATTCGGTATTATGTTAATTTTGGTCTTTGCATACATGAACTTATTGAGACTGTGGAGATCCTCTGTTCCAATGACTGGCTGAAGGACATCAGCAAGCGTTTTTGAATATCGAATGGGATTTACACGAGTGAATAGATTCTACTTGTTAAAGAGGTGTTTCTTTTTTCCCTTCTATAATACACGTGCATGGCTAACAGCAGGAAGTAGTCTGAAAATAACATTAAATAGGAGCCAGAGAATTTGATCCCCTAAGCTTAAGAGGTGGGAGTGTTAAGACAGGATCTACAGTGTCATATCACAAATTGTGGTCCAGATTTTAGAAAAAAGGAACAGAGAAAACAACACATTGAGATGCTTTGGAAGCACAGAGTGGATAAGGAGGGGCTTCATGTGACACAGACAAAAGCCAGAGGAATAAAGAAATGATCAGTTAGAAAAAACAAGCCCAGTCAAGGAGGGAAGTCAGATCCCCAGTGAGTCAACTATGGCTTCCTTAACTCTTCCTAAACTTCTCTGTCAGTATCTGTGATAGCCATGGTTGGTAATTCAATCCATCTCAAAAGTGATGAGTTTTACTCGGTTTTTCCATCGATCCATTTTAATTCTCATAATAACCTCAAACATTTCACACCTGAGATGTTTATGTCACTATCCCCAGGATATTGCAAAGCCCAAGTGCAGTAAAGACGCAAATATGTGGCTGTACTCTTCAACCCTTCTCATCCTCCCGCACTGAAAGCCATTATCCCCAATGCAACCATTCCTCTATGTTTCAGGACATCTTCTATCATTCTACTCTGGATACTAAGTGGATATAAAGTAGAAAAGAAGAAGTGTTCTTGCTTCTTCACAACAAAGCTATTTGACAAACACATGTAGTCTAAGCTTTAGTTACATGCAAAGCTTTCTTTTTGCTATGATTCACTCTGAAAACTATCTCCCAACATTAAGATTAAAAGAATTCCCCCGAGAATTTCAATATTTCATGTGTTTTACTTCTGAGTAGTACTCCATTGAGTAAAGGTACCACGTTTTCTTTATCTATTCTTTGCTTGGGGGCGTCAGGGTTACTTCCAGGTTCTGGCTATTACAAACAATGCTGCTCAAAACATAGTTGAGCAGATATCCTTGTGGTATGAATCTGTATCCTTTGGATATATGCCTGAGAGTAGAATTGCTGGATATTGAGGTAGACGGATTCCATTTCCCTGAGAAACTGCCATACTGATTTCCAAAGTAGCTGTAAGAGTTTGCAGTATTACCAGCAGTAAAGGAGTGCCCCCCGCTCACTCCCCTCCCTCTGCAGCATAAGCCGGCATCGGTGGTTATGATTTTAGCCAATCTGGCAGGAGTAAGATGGTATCTCACAGTTGTTTTCATTTGCATTTCCCTGTTGGCTAAGGGTTTTAAACAATTTCTTAAGGGACTTTCAGCCCTTTTACATTTGTCTGTTGAGAAGTCTATGTTTAGCTCTGTAACGTGCTTTTTCATTGGATTATTAGGTGTTTTGGTGACTAGCTCCTTGGGCTTTCTTGTTGTTGTTGTTGTTTGACTTTTTTATGATTTATTGCTGGTGGAAGTGCAAACTTTCACAGCCACTTTGGAAATCAGTATGACATCGATTTATTTTTACATATATATGTGATATTTTTTATTCTACACAGATACCCGTTTCCTCTCCCTCCCTCTAATGCCCCCCCCCCGTTTTCTCCCCTCCTGCCCCACCCCTCCACTCCACAGGGAGTGTAGTGCCTTCCAGGAGGAATCATCAAAATCTGTCAAGTCATTTACAGTAGGGACTAGGATCTCCCTCCTGCCTCAAGGTTAGGGGAGTATCCCTCCATGGGGAATGTGTTCCCAAAGTCCTTTCGTGCACCAGGGATACATCCTGGTTTCACTGTCAGAGGTCCCCTAGACTGCCCAGGCCTTCTAGCTGAGACCCATGTTTAGGGGCTCTGAGTCTGTACAATACTGGTTTCCCAGCTATCAGTCTGGAGGTCCATGAGCTTCCCCCTTACTCAGGCCGGCTATCTCTGTGGGATTCTCTAGCCTGGCCTTTTCACAGTGTCCCACATTTCCTGAATGTTTTGTTTAAGGATTTGTTGGATTTACAATTTTCTTTAGTCAATGAATCTATTTCCTGTAGTTTATCTTCAGCGCCTGAGATTCTCTCTTCCATCTCTTTATCCGTTCTTGATTGAGAGGAATCTAAGTTCTTTCCAGGAAGAACCTATGCCTTGTTGATCATATTTTTCTGATATCCCTCTCAAATCAGTTCAAGAAATTTCTCTATGTCTCTTCTGATGTAGAGCCTGTGTGCACCATGATATCTGCACTGGCCTCCACTAGAGGATGCTCACAATGCCCAGTGAGAAGGTTACCAAGGAGAGGCGAGATTGGGTCCCCTGGCATAATAATGATTGAAGTCAACTCCCCCCAACTTGTACAGAGCAAATCTGTCATAGCTATTGTCAGAGCAACACTGCAGAGTGAGGTTCACTTGAGTGTCCAGGTTATGGCCTTGGTGAGTCACCAAGGAGGGCTTCTTGGACAGGCCTTGAGGGAAGTTGAAAGGCTAACAATTGAGGAGCTGGATTCCACCAATCATTTATCCCTTCCCATCAGGCCCTACACATGTCACTAGGTCTCCCCACCAGTGGGGCTCTGGCTCAACACCAGGCTCTTCCTTTTTCACTCTATCACACTTTATCTGCAAGGGCCTATTTGAAAAAGTTCGTGGCAAAGGGTGTCAAAAAATGATTGGGCAGTGACGGGGCTGACTCACCTAAAATGCATATTTCTGGGGGCTCACTGGGTACCTGCCACAACTGTAGGCTTTGTTTGCGTCAACTGCAATGTCGGAATAAGGCTTGGTACTGCATAATGCTGTGTATGTACTGTGGGGTCACGGAGCTGGAAAACTTCTAATTTTCCTTGGTGAGAATGAACTTGTCATATCTCTCCGGCGAGACACACTAGAGTGTCATGTCCCTTCTGGAAGTCAGCTCAGGGCTGGGCACTGCTGGTAGGTGGGGTTTTGTCATAGATAACTAGGACAGAGGGAAGCAGCCTGTCACATGGGCTCACACTGCCACATGCTGTCCAGGGCTCGGCTTTAGGGAGGGGATACCCCTGAGAGAGGATCCCGAGGCTGAGACTTCGACGGTCCCCTCACCTGTCACCATCAGGGTGTCACTGAGCCCCAGACCAGCCAGCTGAGCTGTAACAGTGACATCAATATTGCCGCCCACCACCCTCTGTCACGGAAGGAATGAAGAATGTGGATTTGCTGCTGGGTTCCTTTGGAGTCTGTGTATTCTGAGTCTGTTGTCTTCCCCCTTAAAACAGAACAAACATTTCTGCATCTATGGGCCCTGGCAGGAGATGTTCTCGTGGTTTCCTAAAGTGACCACAGTGCCTGTCGCAACCTTGTTGGTGGGTTTGTAGAGGGTCCCTGCCAGGAAGCAGAGGAGGAGGTGGATCTGAAAATAACACTGAAAACGTCACACCTGAGGTTGGCACTGTTTTTCTAGTTATTTTTCTATCAAACAATACATCATGACAGCAGCCCCCTCCTGTGCCCTCTCCCTCAGATCCACTGCTCTCCTGTTTCCCTTCAGAACAGAGCAGGCTTCGCATTGATATTAACGGAACACTGCAAAACCACATGCAGTGAGACTGGGCAAACACCATCCTGTTAAGGCTGGAGAAGGAAACCCAGTAGGAGAGGGAAGATCTCTGCTACAGGCAAACGAGTCAGGGACTTCTAGACTCCTACTGTTTAATGTCCTACAGAAACCATAACTGGTGCTGCTCACTTTTAATCCCAACTCTCAGGAGGCAAATGCAGGCAGACCTCTGTGACTCCAAGGCCAGAGTGTTCTACAGAGTGATGACCGGGACAGACAGGGCTAACCAGTGAACATCTTTAAAAAAAAGAAAGAAAGAAAGGAAGAAAGAAAGAAAGAAAGAAAGAAAGAAAGAAAGGAAGGAAGGAAGGAAGGAAGGAAGGAAGGAAGGAAGGAAGGAAGGAAGAAAACGAACTCAAGGTAAATCAGCACAGCATGTGTGCAGGGGGCTTAGGGAAGACCCATGCATGTGCCTTGGTTGCCCTTCAGTCTCTGTGAGCCCTCCTGATCTCTGCTTATTCGATCCTGTGGGACATGTTCTCCTGGTGTCCTGAGTGCTCTGTTTTCTCTGACCATTGCTGTCTCTATTCTTTGGAGACCCAGCCTCCTTGAGGATGCTATGTAAGCTGGTTCAGAGTAATGGAGGACTCCATGAAGATTCCTTTCAGTCCTGGATCTGCTGGGATTTGCTGTTGCTGTCTTCTTGGATTCTATTTCTTGTGTCTCTGTGTCTCACATGAGCTGTGTCAATGGGCTCTGGAGCCCTGACACACGCCACACAAGAAGGCCTCCCTCTACTCCTGTGTCTTTTCAACATCATTATGAGGAAAGTTTGGCTTCTCACCTGAGAACAAGAGCTCCAGCGGGTCAATGGGTTTCAACCACACCAGTTAGACGTTACTGTCAAAGCTGTAGCTCTGAGTGCCCACCTTTGACAGGAGGTCACAGGGCCCACAGAGATCAGGGCCTGGTACTGACAATTAGAGTGGGTATACTCTGAGCGTGAGTCCAGGAGTGCTTCTGTGGTCCT